AGGACGATTAGTCACCTTTAATTTATTCTTAAGGTATCCGACTACGTTCGGAACCGTGATTTTGCAAAAAGCGTGTAAATGGATAATATTTATAGATATTTAGTGTCACTTAGATTAGAATACATGTATACAATTGTTTTAAGGACATTATGACAAAAAAAAAATGATTTAAATACAATATTTTGGCAAAAAATTAACCTGGAATAACATTTTTTCCAAATATGTTCTCCTTTTTTAAAAAATGCTTCTATATTGTATTAATATTTTGCCTGTATTCACAAGCTCAGACCACTGTACAGAGGCTCAACTAGAATTTTTGAAACGCATAACTTGGAAGTCGATTTATCCATGTTTTACGAAAACAGACGGGAGAAATTTTAAGAAAATACGTCGATAATTATTTCAAATGGTTGTAACTCTGAAAATAATGTGAATTTTTCAAAAACCATAGTTGAGCCTCTGTACAGAGGTCTAAGCTATAAATTTATTGTCAAAATATTGTATTTAAATATTTTTTTTTGTCATATAATGTCCTTAAAACAATTTTATACATGTATTCTAATCTAAGTGACACTAAATATCATGAAAATTATACATTTATGTGCTTTTTTAAAATCATGGTTCCGAACGTAGTCGGATACCTTAAGAACAAATATTGAGATATTCCACAGAAAGTCGGAAGTAATCGCGTTAAATTCAAGTTTACATGAGAAGAAACTCAAATGTTTGAAGTATTTCACTTCAAAATGCAGCAGCATCCTTAACCCACTAGAAATTGCAAGAGAGTCTTCTGCAGCCCCATGCATCGTAAGGAACAAAAAAAAGTACTGATTTTCCCTGTTTTAAAATGAGTCATACCTATTCCACTTGACTCGAAGGTCATATGCAACAGACGGAAACTTTACAGAGAAATTTGTACGAGGTTTTTTCACATGAATTTTAGTGGTAAGGGGTGAACACTCCCTTGCACATCCTCGCGTTAGTGTTGTTTTGATTTAGTTGAGTGAAAATGTTGTTGTGTTCGATGGCGATTTTCCAATAGTTACCGTGATCAAATGGGAGGAAAAAGAAAGATTTGCTGAGCTTTCGAAAAGAATTCATTAAAGAGCCAACTGAAGAGCAAATGGATCATTTACACGTGAGTGATCATGATTTTGGCACAGAAAACGACGTGGAAATCGAATGAAGAAATTTCCTTTTTCGAAACGAACAACGAAAAATATTTTTTGGCAAAGTAAAATGGGAAAAACAGAGGTCTTGATAAATTTAAAGAGTTACGGTCAAGAATGCAGTGCTAAAGTTTTCTGTAAGCACATACACAAATTTCGTAACTGCCAAGTTCTGGAACTACTTGAACTATTGCCATTTTTGTGCTTGATGATACTATCATCGAATTGTTTCAGAAATCCCCAAAAACATATAGTGAAGAATTTAAGATAAATTTTACAGAGAATAAGATGCAAGAAAGACAGCAGAAGTAGTGGAATTAAGGTTTTGAATGGCCTTGGATGCTTGAGTGAAATTCAAAATGTGAATTAATATGAGTTACACCCCTATAGGGAACGACTGTTATCCATGTATTTCTTCAAATATAAAAGCCTTATTCTGGTTTTCGACCACCAATTTGACGGTGTGCGAATATATCATAGATAATTAGATGAGTTCCCTCCTGTTTAAGAATTTTTTGAAAAATTTACTAAAGAACAGGAAAAGTTCTACAAAAACGACGATCTGTCATCATCTGGAGGAAAGTGACTCACTCACTTACTCATCACGAGATCTTTGGAACTATTTTAGTTTGTTGAGTAAACATCCGCTAAAAACGTGTTTTGCGGAAGTCAACTCTAAGGACATGAAAGGATAACTCTTAGAAAGACATGAAAAATAATCATACTTCCATTTTATAAATTCAAATCCTGTCTGAGTGGTACTTATAAGTACCGTCGGTAAAAAAAGCTTACAATAAAAAGAATTACAAGAAAAACAAGTATTAGTTGGCCTTGAATAAGAGAAAGTCTAAATATTGGGAGCAATATTTGGATTTCAAACAGTTCGACAAAATGCACGTTTAATGTATGTTCAAGAAGAGTAAAATATCCTTTTTTTTTCGTGTTACGTAATGATGATAGCATTAAAGAAAATACAGCAGACCCCTTTTCCTTTTACTCACAGAAAAACGGAAATGATTACTCTTTAAAAACGACAAAAGGGGCAGGTGACGTCGTGGATTGAGTGGGAACAGTATGTATCGCATATATTGAAGTTCCTGTATTGATCATTTTTATCTTGTATTACACAAGCACACAAAAAAGACACGATTACATTTACTTCTAACAAACCATGTGTGTGTGTGGGAATCTAAACTTGCAGTAAAAATACAGAATATTCTGGCGTATAATGTGCATTTTCAACGCAAAAAGTAAGATCGAAATTTACAGGTCCACGTCGTAGTTTGGGGGTATAAAATTGATTGCATTATAAGTAAGAAAAGACGAGCAATTAAAAATCAAATTTCCACATTTTTATCTTTATAAATGTTTTCTACCTTCTCTCTCGCTCTTCTCTCTTCTGTGACATCCATATATTCCACAATATTTTTAAAACTGCTTTGAATGGTTTATATATATATATATATATATATATATTGATGCACCATCTGAAGCAGTGATTCTCAAAGTGGTCTAAATCGACCCCCGGGGGTCTATGACGTTCTGCAAGGGGTCCACGTAAGCAGAAAATTAATTTAGGAGTCTATGAGGTGTAAATGGGGTCTATGATAGTGATCCCCATTAAACCAGATTGTAAATTTACTTTTAAAAGAATATTTAATCAAGTGAAAACTATATAGATTTTACCTATATATTTAACATATTTATTTACTAAATTGAATGAGGTTAATTTTCAATTATAAGGTGAAAGCACACATAAACTTTATTTAAATAAGGACCGTTTCAGCGTTTCTTTCCCGAATTCAGCTAAAGCAATATAATATTGGAGGTCGTGAATTTTCTCAATTTGTCACAGACAATCTGTCAGGATGTTTCAATCTAAGTTCAGTATTTAATTGCCCTTTTTAGTCAGATTTTAAAACTAAGTTTGAGAATGCTTTGATTATGGTAAAACCTCAGTGGGAAAATCAATTCAAATGGTCACATTGGAAAAAAATATTCTTATTACAATAGGAACTGATAGGAATAGGCACTAACGAAGATCTTAAAGTTTACAAATGGATACAAGCAATTTTAGTTTTAAAAAGACATACCTGTAACTTGTCCCAAATTATGGAATATTGTGAAAAAGATTTTACTTTTCCCACAGTAAGGAGTTTCAGTACGGTTGCCAATCTCCAAAATAAAAAATAAAAAAAAAAAAAAAAGAAAGAAGAAAGGGAAAAAACATTACAAACAGAAGAGACTGAGGGTTAAACCTGACAAGATAGATACCAAATGTTGAAAAGTTGTTATTGAAGCACCAGATTCATTCCTCCCATTTAAAGCATTTGTTTGTTGCTTAGTTATTATATGTATTAATTACATTTTAATCAAATTACTAAACAAGTGTGCTTTTTAGGTTTTAAACACTATATTTCACTATAGCTGGAATTTAATTCTTTTAAAGTAAGTAGCTCTATACTAGCTGTCAAAAAGACACTTAAGTTGATAAATTTGCAAAAATTCAATATTAGGTAAGCAGGGGTCTACCCCAAACGGAAAAACATGGCAAGGGGTCTATGAAACAAAAATGTCTGGCAACTTCTGATCTAGAGGCTGAACTAAAGGCGTTCAGCCCCCTAGAATAACTGCCATGCCTTTGCTGCACTCTACCAGCAATTTTTTCGTTCTGTATAACTGACGGGATCTGAACATGTCACAAACTAAAAAAAAAAGAAGATTCCTGGATTAATCAATCCTAGTCTATCTTGAGCTAAAAGACATTCTGTGGTTTGTTTGAAATACTTAAACGTTTTTGCCAAACATTTCTCATTCACTATTTTACACCGTTTTCGTTTATTTATCCTTCTCGTGCAAGTGAATGAAAACCTTTCCGGAAATTAGATTTTGGCATCGTGAAGTGAGGTATTTCGTGACCTGTCGTTGTTATGTGAGCATTGTTCATGTACATTTCTGATTTCTTTGTAAACAAGTAATATATATATAAATTAAGTCAACTCCTACTTAGGTCAACAAAGAAAATTTTATTTTAGTTACTTTTTATTATATAATTACAATTAACATAAATATGTTGTGATATCCCCCGTCCCGGGGGTATCATCTCTTCATCGATGTGACCTAGTAATGAGGAAAGGATTGATCACCCAAATTCGCCATAATGAATCTAATTTATTATTGTCTAAATATATTGATCATCGCAACGCAAGTCTTACTATAGGGATTCGATCAGGAGTGACACAACGTAATTCTAAATTCTAAGTAAATAGCGCCTGGAATCCCAATCATTATCTTTATGAAAAGCTATCCTAAGAATCTTTTATCTTCCTTAGATTCCTTAACGCACTAAAACCAATTCTATAATTATGTTTCTATATTTAATATCTTACCAATAGCTCTCGGAGTTCAGCATCTCAGCTTTCTATCTCCTTCTTCTGTTTTACCATTTCACCACTATTCTACTACTATTCTATCATTCTAACACGCGAATACTAAAGCTCCTATATATATCTAATAACTATATAATCTGCATATAGCAGTTTCTTCTTGAGAAGATTGGATTGAAATAATGCCATTCTGAGCCCCAAAGATTCTCCAAGAGGATTACTAAGAAAATCCGATAAAGCCCCGTCACAATGTATATACATATGTCAGAATCACACAATATTAAGTGGCAAAATGCAAAGCGACTTTCCTTGCAATTTACCATTTTCATTTCTACATATGGGGTTGGACAATCATTTTTGTTTGTTACTATTTATTCATTAATTAAATTTAATTATTCCAATAAAATAGTATAGTAAAAAGAAATCACATTCTCAGAAGTTAAACCATCCCAGGAGGGATACGAACCCACGACCTTTGGATTAGAAATTCAACGCGCTATTCATTGCGCTACAGGGGGACAAAACAAACAACTTTCTTAATATATATATATGTTGTTGGACTATTATTTTTGATTGCTGCTCTATATTTATTTTTTTAATTAATTAATGAATTAATATTTGGAAAAGCTGTATTAGCATCAAGTGTCATCCTCTACAAGTTTAAAAAATGTATTTGAACTTGAGTGGATGAATAAAAAGTATTTTATTAACGATTGAAAATTTGAACACACACACACACACACACATGTATGTATAAATATAAATAGGGAGAGTGTGAAATAATAGTAGGAATTGAAAAAAGCGTACCATTAATACAGCAAATACACCTAAAAATTAAAAAAAGTGGAACTTGTGAAAGTATGAATCACAGGGGTCGGTAACCTTTTAGGTTTGGCGTGACAAACTAGTCTACCAATATGATTCAGCGTGCCATACAGAAGGACATTTTTGAAACAATTCGATTCCTACGATAATGGTTACAGAATAGAAGTCAATTGTAGAGAATTACAGTTTTATTATACATTAATTTTACATCACTCTAAAATATTTATTAATATAAAAATAAAAAGCATAAAATATAACTATTTCTTCGATCTAAATAAAAAAATTAAAATTGTACATATATTGTGTATTTTTAAACATATTTATTAAAATAAGAAATAGCATAAAGAATAAGTACTTCCCTTCATTATGGTTAAATAAAAAGATAAATAAAAATTTTAATGCCAACCTAGTACTTTCACCGCTCTACTTTCATATCACAAAATCAGGGATATATTTTGTGACTATCTGACACGATTTTGAGCATTCAATTGTTAAACAATTTCTTTGCGGACTCGAAATGTTTTTCATATGAGGAAAGAATTTTTACATAGATTTGTAGAATTAAAAAAGAGCGGAAAGCAGAGTACACATCCAATTTTCTTTCTTCAAACAATTAAATCTCTCCAGTAATGGCATTCAATAATTTCCAAAATAACAGTAAATTTATTTTTAGACTTATCTTTCAGATTTTTTTCGTAATTCCTTAAATGTCCATAATTCTGAAGATGTTTGTCTAATAAGGTCCATTATAAATTTATCAACTTCTATCCACTCAAAAATTGACAAATTTGTAGACAAGTGAAGAGTGCCACTGAGAATTATACCGCTTGCCACATGAGGTACGATTCCTGGTACGGCACATGTCGACTCCTGGTATAGGTAAACGTACTACTCCGGAATATAAGGGTAAATGGTAAAAAATCTACCTGTTTCTTCGTGAGAAAGATAAATTCACATGCTTATATTTTGAGAAACGAGTTTTAAGATGCTAGAAGAGATTATTGACTTGAATGTTTTAATTTATTTTGACTTCTATTAAGAGTACACGGTACCCTAAAAATTTCATTTCTACCGAAATTTTTTTTTTTGCATTTTCTAGTGGCCCATATCATTGAGAAGCTTTCCACAAAATTTCAGATCTGTTAGCAAAATTAGTTTTAAGATATTTAAGTTTTATGAGCTATGTTTTGGTTTCTGGTTTCATTTTAAAAGCATTTTCCACTCTTAAATTGAATTAATTAAAAATTTTGTTGAGCTTTTAGTTTGAAATGGTTATTAATTCCAATTTCCATTACTAAAATAACTTCTGCTTGATTATGTTTTGAGTTTTTTGAGTTCTCATAATTAATTAATTAAGATTAATTTCATGGCCAATTTTTTGCTTTTTAAAATAGTTTATATATAACTTAAAAATCTTTATCATTAATTTTTTCTTTAGAGGAAATGTGCCACGGCTAATGCGTTATCAGGGTTGTTGTGAGGAAACAACAATATTTCTAAGACATGAAATACTACCGAAAAAATGATGTATCTAAAAAATCAGTCCTCTGTTGATTCTGGGTAATTAGACTCCGAATACAAGTATTCGGAATTCAAATGTTGCGTGATATAACCTGAATATTTCCTTGATGTGCCCAAACTACCTTTATACCAAACATATTGTGGTACTATATTTTAGTATTTTTAGTCATATGCGCACGTGCGCGCGACAAAAAGCTAAAACTTCCTAAACTGCCCCAATTTAAACTGAAAAAAATTAAATTTTTGAGAAAAAACACGACTATTTTATCTTAAGTTAGTAAGCCAGCTATTATTTTGTACATAAATGCTTTGTGTTTCAAAACTTTTGTGAAAATATTACGTTAAGATAAAGCTGAATAAACTGACGTCTTAACAAATGTTATCAATATTCAAAAATATATTTTGAATAAAAAATATTATTTTCAGTCATATTTAATTAAAATAGTGTTTTAATGCAGAGCACACACATACATTGGGAAATAACATATTGAAAAAAAATTAGGAGATTTCATGTAGGCATTGCAAGTTCTTGTTTTGGCGACTTGACAAACTTTAAAATGCTGCTTTTTCTCAGACTCCCTTCAATTTTGAAAAGGTATAAGTAAGCTTTTCTAATCCCTAAGGCTTTTTTCCTGTTCAAGATAGGACCTTGAATTTTTTTGTATATACTCCCAGACGTATGTTCTATAAAAGTTCGTATGGATTTAGGGTTGAGATTCCTAGTTATCTTTCTAAAAAATGCTAAAGTTGATATTTTAAAAATTTTCGTGTTTTTTCCAGGTTTTTCTAGAAAAATATTTATTAAAAATCAACAAGGAAATAGAGTTTCAAATCCATACTAACTTTTGTTTGCAATAACCTAAGAAACATACATAACTTAAAATGACTAAAAAATTTTAAAAATTGAGTGTATTTTATAAGTTTGAAAAAACACAAAAATTCTCAATGTTTTAAAATTGTAAACTAATGGCTGATCAAACTGACTTTTTACTTCTAGAATAAGCTTAATATTATAATCTAAATATAAAACATCACTTATTTTTACTGTAACTGTCTCCCCAAATTTTTTTTTTCAAAAATGGTACCGTGTAACCTTAACGCCGTAATGTGACGCACTTGTTATTGTGACTAAAATCTAAAGAAAAAGTGAAGATGCGGAATGATATGAGGAAGATATTGAAAATGGAGAAAAATCACTAGGATATCCCGGAAATGCGTTATCTATATTTGCTAGAGAAAATAAATCTATAGAATGGAAGAGCTGATCTCTTGGAAATTTGAAACAAATAAAGTTTAATTTTAATATAAACGCATGACATGAAAAAATAACATGCAAATTATGCAATTGTAATTAAATCAACTGCTTGTAAGATAATCATTGCCTAATTTCATAAATTAAAATATAGTCCAATTATGTTTACTAATTATTATGAATTATTAAAACTTAGAAATGTTTACCAAATTATTTGGTTGCATATTGGTTGAATAGTAGTTTCCCTGTTAACAAATAAAACATATTCTTATTTTAAACAACATATAATTTATAATAATCTTGTGGGAAAAATAAGCTCTTGGGTAATCAGCCAGTGAATGTTAATAATTTCAAAAATTCATTCTGCTTTAAAATACAGTGATTAGCTTGGTTTTACAGATAAATTTTAAAATAATTTTTTCTGTCAATAAAATTTAAAATAAAAAATAATAAAGTGTTTTACTTTATTTTGATAAAATCACTACTTAAAATATTTAATATATTAATTATAGGAATGAAAAAAAAAATTCATTAACGTTTGATTGTGCTCCATAATTTTTTAAATTAATTATTTATGGATGGAAAAGGCCTTGATTATAAAGAAAATTTTTAATTATGCTTTTCATTTATCTATTTAAATAATACGAAATTTATTTGAGAGTTTTTTTTGTATTCTTTTTAGAAAATCAATCTTGCCTACAAGTAACAAATTGTTTATTGATTTTAAAGGAAATTAAAACAAAAACTATCACTAGATGGCAGCAGGGGTCTTAAAATCATTTCTTAAAGCATTTATACATTTAAAACGAAATATCAAACATTCGTTGGCTTGAAAGTCAGAACAATTGATAGACTGTTTTTGAATTAGTTTGAAACTTTTGGGGGTTGAAATATTTCTTTAATGCGTACCCTTTTTTTAAAATCTCATTTTCAAAGTTCTTGTTGTTGTTACTAGATGGCGACACGTGTACTACTTTTAGAGCAAATACTCAAAGCATGTGAAAATGTGAAAAATAAAAACAATACATAAAAAACGAATCGAAAATGACAAGTAAATATACAACATAAAAGTTTCGTTGCATACTTTTTAGAAGCATTGCAAAATTTTACTACATAAGCAAAATTTGTTAAAGCATTTTTTGATTAAAATAAATGCATTAGAAACCGTATTTATGTATATTCTAATACCGATATTAATATTTAAATATTTCTGTAACATTACACAAAATACATTGTAATATGTCTAAAATAATTTTAAAAAGAAGCAAGTAAAAAAGATTTCTGTAGAAAAAAATATTTAATATAAAACAACAATCATATTAAAGCCTCGAGAGATATAAAATTTCTAACTGAAAAAAAAAAGGACATTTAAAAAAATTATTTACTCAAACCTAAGCAAATTATTCTACTAAAATATAAAAATACCGAAACTAGCATGTTATTTAAAACATAGTAGGGATATAAAATCTATTATTTCTTATTTAAAAAATACTATAAAAATTCACAACGTGTAAAATACGGGATTATTTATACATTTTTTTTTTCTCTGAAAGAATTTGATGTCGAAATGCTCTTAGCTCATTCCCGCCAAATTTACCAAAATATGTGTTATATTTCCTTTTGTTCTTAAACGTCAATACATTTTTATGAAATGTGAATACCAGTGGCGTAGCTAGGTATCCAAAGGCTATGGTGGGGAACCCCCCCATAAAAACTGAGGGTCCTATCTTGGTTGGGTAAAGTAAAATATATTAGTATTTTAAATATACAAAGTTACTTTAACATCAGCCCATTATCGCGCTCTGCAGAACATAGAAAAACAAAGCTATATACTACTTACATGCATGTGGATGAGTTTTCTCTCTTGTGTGAATTTTAGTAATTACCCAGGTTCGATTTGACGCGTGACAGACACAGGAAAT